TATATATATATTATATANAANANACATATATATATATATATATATATAATATATATATATATATATAGAATGTAATATAATATGTATATAAATCACATTTCTACAGAGAAGTAACACATTATGCGATATTATCCCAAGCAGGCCATACACACAACTCCACGATGGTGAAAGCAACAGATGGGGCAGAAATCTATGAAAGATAACCTACCGCTTCAGCCTCAGTGGGTTGCTCGATATGATCTGAATCCATTATAAAAGTTTAATAACCCATGTACGTGAAGTTGAGACTCTGAGAGTGATTTGGGATGAAGTAGGCGAGGCGCAGCAGAATTTAAATGAACTACAATACAAAACTCGTTATAAGCTCATACCATCGCGCTGTCCGCAATAGTTACGATTCCCATCCACACACATAAGCTCTAAAAACATTCTTTCTCATATCTAGTACTGAGAAACAACGCAAAATTCTAATCGTCATCGGATCATGGAAAATGTAAATGTGGCAACAAATGTGATAACAATAACCAATACGAAGTCCTTAAATTTAAAATCTATTTTAAGAACAAGGCGGCGGGACAAATCAAAATATCTTGGGCACGGTCTTGTAAATATTTTTGGGCATGTGATTTGTGAATGTAGATTGTAGAGTATAGAGTCGTATGTAAATAGGACGTAGACTTGATATTTTTTTGGGGTATAAACGGTTGAACGTTTACATGGCCGGGAAACCCCTTTTGGACCTAATCAATATCAGCTGGCTTCAGTATATTTGAAAGTTGAACATAACCGTTAATTCAGCTTAAACCGCCAAACGTTTTGAGCTTAGCTCCCAAAGTTTCAGTTCGTACGACGAAAATACGTTGTAAGCGATGTAACCCAACAAACCTATTGGGGCAGGGACTCTTGTTGCGGTGACCGGATCGCGGCTTCGCGAGTCGCAACCAAAGTGTTAACTGTTATTTGTGTGGCTGTGATGATCCTTTGTGACACCCAATAGAAATATACCCTGCACGTGGACCATCAAAATACACGTGTACGTATAATAAAAATATGTAGAACATGTACATGTAAAATATATATTTTGCCGATGATCAACCGTGCGATCTATGTACTGCTATGCTTCATATGGCTCGTATATAGAAATCAAGTCCGGCAATATTCAGATCATCCGAATCTCTATAAACTTTGTTGATAGTAAAGTATTATTACGCTACGTACATACTAGCCTACATAATTGTTAGAACATCTATATACACAACTACACATACATAAGGAGAGGATGGTGTTCTTTCAATGCGACGGGTGTGGCGAGGCCCTGAAGAAAGCCAAAGTCGCCAATCACGGGTGCAGAGCTGCCGTATCATGCATTGACTGTAATGTAGTTTTCGAGGGTAACTCGTACAACCAACACTCCAGCTGTGTATCCGAAGCCCAACGATACCAAGGAGCCTTATACAAAGGTGCTTCAGCTAAGCAACTGAAGAAACAAAACACGCAGAATCAATGGTTGGAAAATATACAACAGTTTGTAGACTCGGGAGACGCCGATAGACGCATGAGACCTATGTTGGAGAAGATGCTGACATACGAGAACATCCCCAGGAAATGGCCAAAGTTTAAGAATTTCTGCTCAAATAGTTTAGGGGTATGTTTCCTGTTTCGAGTGACACGCTCTGGAATAGTACATATAGTTGCTTGTAAATATTCAGTCAATATCTATCGGGAAGAATGTCCGAGGTGTTCGTACAGATATACATTGACCGTATTGTAACATTTTGGGCGGGGCATGCGCGTTTCACTATATACGAATATGTAGATGTATATGTATATGTATATGCATATGCAAAAGTATGTATATATATATATATATATACTTGTATATATATATATATAGATATATATAGATATACACACGCACATATATATATATATATATAAACATACATACATACATATACACATATATATACATACATATATATATATTTGTGTGTATGGATGCACACCTATATATATATATATATATATTATACATACATATATTATACATACATACACACATACACACAAATGTATATCTATAAATACACACACAAATGTATATATATGTATGTATGGATAAATGTATATGTATGGTATATATATATATTTATATTTATATATGTATATATGATATATATACATATATAAAAGTATATGATATATATATATATACACACATACTTATATATATGTATATATTTATATGTATATATATATGTATTATATATATATATATGATATATATATGTATGATATATATGATATATATTTTTATATATGTGTGTTTGTGCGTGTTTGGCTTTGTATATGAAACAAATATGCGTCAGCATATGCATGAAGTCATTCAGAATACATATATTGTTGTACTTATAGTTGTGATTTTTGCTATATATCTGTTCACACACACACACATATATTTATTTATAACGAATAAGCATAATACGACCGTCCGCGTACTGTTCAAGTTTTAAGCCATAAGAAGATGCACTTATACAAACTGGAACATATGTTTATCCGAAGGTGCACGAGTACAATATCATTGCGAGTAAGCATCTGTATGTGCGCGTGCACTACACATATCAGATGCGATCTTGCGCCACTCGACAAGTTTTTGATAATAAAAGATACAACGAAATGCCAGATAGAATATATGGAAGCATAAATGACATACTCCAAGCTCTACAGCACTCATGTTATCCAAAGCTACGCCGGATTGCCTTCGTCAGAATAACATGATATACATATGGATGTTAGATATGCTAGCAGGCTATTCCCCCTGGCATTGAATACCACTCCTCAATCATATCCCAAATGCAGCTCCGAGACGAGTCCTTGTCGAGGCAAATATTCGATGATTTCGTGGCCAAGGCGGTTGCCGCACCCTCTACGGCAGTAGCGCCTGTGGCTGAGACTGTCACATCGCACAACGAGATAGCTGAAGTACAGGTGTCAGCCAAAGACAGTGATGAAGATACTACCAAGAAGGAGAGCAGTGTAGTAAGCAAGAAGAGTAAGAAATCAAAGAAATACAAAAAAGAGAAGAAAAGTAAGAATGTTAAGGAGGTCGATGTAACAGAAACGGAAGCTGAGCCCGTGAAGAAGAGTAAAAAGGACAAAAAGAGTAAGAAAGAGAAAAAAGAGAGCAAAGTCGGATCTGTTCTGGAGGAAACAGAGCAGGTGACGAGTGAGACTACAAAGGACAAGAAGGCGAAGAAAGTGAAGAAAGCGGCCAAGGAGATGACCAAGAAGCGCAAGAGGGAATCGGGCATTGAAGGGACCGTGGCGAAGAAGGTCAAGGCGTAAGCTGGAAAGATAATTAGCTGGATATAGATTAATATTAGTGTATATAAAGGAGATAACTAGTTGTATTTAGATAATTTAGTGTATATAAAGGAGATAATCAGTTGGATGTAGGTAAATATTAGTGCATATAATGGCGATTCTCAGTTGTGTATGTTGATAGAATTTAGTTCATAAAAAGAATGGGTGAGAAAATTCGGATGTCAAAAATAAAATCGCAATATGGTTCACATACGGTCATTGGACAGCAAGGGAAAGTAGTGTCATAAACACAAGTGGCACTATGCAATTTTAATACTTCCTGGGCCACTTCTGCACTCCCATATAAGCGATTCAACAAGCGCATTCCGTTGTACTGTAACCCAGAGGACTCCGCGGCGCTACTTAAGCTAAGACCCAGGCATACCGTGCTCTATTTCCACACTCTAGAGTTGGGGTTCTACATATTCGATCAATCATCGTTGGAGGCTATGAAGCGCAGTCGATGCCTCCAGGATAGAACTATGTCAGCTCGTTCCAAGCCTGACTGCCCGACTCGGGGATACTTGCTAGTAAGGTATATCCTCGGGTGCATCTCAACTATACACATCTTCAGGTAATACTGGATGATCGAGTGGGATGACTGATTTTTTCGTCACGTCCCTCGGTAAGGCCTTCCGCATATCTGTTGAAAACACATTACAAGGACGTTTGGTTGTAAGGCCCTCGCAGTATCGCAAATAGTATTGCGCATTGAAATGGCAGATATATTCATCATGAAAAGATCGAAGGTCCATGTGAAACCGAAGCAACCGTTTACAACCAATATAACGTACGATAAATGGAGAGACATGAGTATTAACCACAACTTACTGTGCGAATACGAGTCTGCTTACAACCAACATAACGTACGATGAATGGAGGGACCAAGAGTATTAACCACAACTTACTGTGAATTACGAGTCTGCACAAAACCAATATAACATTCAATAAATAGAGGGACCATATGTACTAACCACAACTTACCATAAGCATCTTCTTCATCCGCATCTACTGACGCCGAATAGTAGCCTAAGACTCGCCGATAGACTGTGTATCCTAGCTTACGATACATCCCTATCGCCACTTCATTGGATTTCCGCACGAATAAATCTACGAAGTATCCATCGTATCTGAGTTTACAGAGAGTGTTGTAAGGTGAGAGATATGATGAAGCATATGTACGCAATAAGCGGCAAAGCAGATATCTTCGGGTTAGTGCGTGAAAACATCAATACTTAATCAACTTTTGGCTGACCTACTTCACTCAGTGCGTTGTTGTGGTCCTATCCTTGATTGCTCCATGTATGGATTCATACATATTCTGAGTACAGAGAAAGCCCATAGAAGAATTCTACTATCATTTCCAAATTAATCAGTTTGAACACATTGTACAATACTAAATAGGAAGTGTGATTCTTTCAGTGTCTGTGCAAGACATACATGTGTTCCGAGACTCTCTCCAGTAGATCCATCATCTGATTGGCCAGCCCCAATCGACGGTATGTGGGTGTGACGGTGAGACACGTGACATGGCCATGCCATTCTTCGCCTCTTCCTTCGGCTTTGCCCATGACTAGTAAAGTATCAAAGAAATGAAAATTATCATTAAATATGCCCACATTTGTTTTCGCAAGAATGTAGTTATATTGACTGAATACGGTGGTGTTCTACCGCATTCCTATGATCCATACTGTGTCTTGACAGGCCTTTGCATAGGTGTTTGCCCAACCCATAAGTAATTCATGTGTCCTAGCCTGAATAATATCCTCTACACATTCCTTGAGAATAAAAAAAATCTCGAAAATTCGCCGGAAGGTCATATCAAAACCCGAATTCGCCTACTCATGGCAATGCTAAGCAACCCTTCTGATCGAACCGGCTCGAATAAAATAATCTAGTTCGATTTGACACCTTATCACTTAGAACAAAAACTATACACGTACCACGCAACAGCATATCTATGTGAACAGCATTGTCATGGTCCACGAATCATAAGTCACACCATGCGACCTCAACTTCTAAGTATTCAAAGTCTTCTGCACATACTGACAGCAGTCGGCAGTAGACTTAAATATGTAAAACCGGAACAGTGCACATTCTAGTCATGGTAATAGAAATTGAGCATACAAGAGTAACACTTAAAGTTAATTGGGTGGAGAAAAATAAGATACTTATCAAAGTAGGTCCATCGCACGGCTGGTAGAGTACTATATCTTCAGATAGCGTACACTCTAAAGCTGAACATACTGTGCTCACATGTCAGGAACAACCATGCTAAACTACAACACAGGACCAGAGTCACGTGTAAGAATGCCTCCATATCGACATTGTAGTGTTTTACAATCCTGTTGTAGTTCATGATTATACATTTGCTTGTGCTTGCTATTTGCAACGCCGAACAGTAACCTAATTCACCACACCCGTACGACAGCTAAAACCCAACACAGAGCGTTCGCATACCATATCCCATCAATTCTCCAGACGAGGACTCGCAAACAGAGAAGTAATTTGGCCACACAGCCAAGTATTGTAGGTAGAAACCGAGGTTATACGTCTCAGTCAGAGGATCAAGATTGCTGTGGTAGAGTGAAGAACAAAATGAGAAATGAACCTCGATACTCTCGGATTCCAAATTAAGAATAAATTATTTTTCTTCGCGAACCAGGATAAGACGATATTGTACATATTAAATTTACAGACATCAACGTCTGATATAATACCGCATCAGAGGTAGATGTTCAAGCAAACAAGATAGGAAATAGTGCATACCTACATATCAACCTATGTACTTGTAAAATACAAATATTCTCTATACAGATGTATGCAATGATACAAAGGAATACGAATCAATATGTATGATTATATATATTATATATATATATATATATATATATACATATATATGTATACAAATATATATATATCCTTCACACACACACATATATATAATATATATATATATATATATATATCTATATAAATCACACACACACACACACACACGCACACACACACACACACACACACACATATATATATATATATGCATAAACACACACACACACACACAGGTGGGATCCTCTAGAATCGGACCTGCAAG